AGCCTATTTGTGTCTTCAAGCATTGAAAGATGGTTTTGTGGGTGGTTGTAGACCTTTTATTGGTGTAGATGGTTGTCATCTAAAAGGACCCCATGGAGGTGTGCTCTTGACAGCAGTTGGTGTTGATCCCAACAATAACATATTCCCATTGGCAGTGGCATCAATTCCCAAAGAGAATAAAGACGCATGGAAGTGGTTCTTAATTTTCTTAAAGTTGGATTTGAAGCTCCAAGCTGACTATGAATACACTTTCATGTCAGATAAACAAAAAGGCCTAATCCTAGCCTTTGATGAAGTTTTCCCGAATGCTGAACACAAATTTTGTGTTAGGCACTTGCACTCGAATTTCAGTAGGGCTGATTGGAGAGGACAAGCATATAAAACAGCCTTGTGGAATGCTGCAAAAGCTACTACTGTGCCTGAGTTTGTAAGAAAAATGGAAGTGTTTAAGGAAATGAATGATAGATCATTTACATGGTTCAGTGATAAGCCTCCTTGTCAATGGAGTAGGTCACATTTTTTAGATATAAGTAAGTATTATATGCTTTTAAATAATGGTAGCATACTGAGGTTTAAGTTTTCAATTGTAGCATACCTTCCAGTTTTGGCACCCGTAAAATCTTCGTCCCGGGTTATCTTGCGTCCAAGAAGTTTGAACTTGAGCCAGCTACACCGACAAAATATGTTGTTCGTCCATTGACGAGAAGAAGAAGATGAAGAATGTGACATGATTTTTACATGGTGAAGAAGATGCAGAAGGTGAAAGTTTTGGGGAAAAATTAGGGTAAGTTTATGCCCCAATTTCGTCTGATTTATAGATGAATGGGAAAAAAAATGAAAAGTTAGGGCAGCCATGTAAATCGGGTCCATGTCGGCACCCTCGGCAGCCACGTAAGCTGTAACGGTCAAAATCGGCCCGTTGGGCTAATTTAGGACGAAATTGCTGGAATAATTATAATTGACGGACTAAGACCAAACTTTGAAAACGAACAGGACCAGATCTTAAAAGTATGAAAGTTATAGGACGTTTTGTCTAATTTTCCCACATAATTTTGTTCGAACTCGTGGCGTAGCAATTTCAAATTTCACGTTTTCCTAAAATGCCCACGCCAAATGCATTCAAACTGCACTATTTAATCATATATTTTTTATATGTTATTTGTTTCATTTTCATGATAAAACAACATGTGGAAAATGTGAAAATATAAGCATGATCAAGTGTCGAAAACAACACTCTAATATGCATAAATTTCTTAATTTCATTTACATAATCTATGTTAGGAAAAAAAAAAATGGTCTAAACTGCGTTTTCGCAAACACTCCTTTGAAGATTATTAAGTAAAGCATTTTTGTGTCATCATCTTTTTAGTATTTGATATGTTCATTATCATATTAAATTTTAAATATACACACATATAAAATATAAAATTTTATTTGTAACTATGCATGGATACATGATTGAATAATAGTGTCCATAATTTAACTTTAAAAATACAATGTTGAAGGATAGCCCACTTTCTCAACTCGAGTCTTAAGTTCAACGACTTTCATCATTGACGAACACCTGCTCTAATAAGATAAGACGTTTACATCTGAATGACAAAATAAGGATACACTCGAACGATAGAGAATTCATTCTTCTCTTAGGAAATAAACACCCCAAACAAAAGGAGACAAGCTTAAACCTTGGTAAAAAAATGTACACATGCACCATTCAAATAATGATTTTGTAGTTCATTCTATTTTCTTGTATTCATTTCTATAACATGTAACATGGCAACCGCAATTACACCCACAGACCTCAACAATACTTGCATGAAGAGCCTTATAATAAGACTTAAAATTTTATTTGACTTTAAGAACTATTATCACTTATACCCATAATTTCCTTGTAATCAAATTATTCTTATTTAGTCAAAAAAAATTACCGAAACGTAATTATAACATCAAGAAGAGATGAATGTGCCTGCCTGTCAACGCGGTTTTTGGTCTCCATTGGCTCAGTTGACGTAGGTACAACACGTGTACTACTGATAAATCCATATTCAAGTTTAAATTTGTTTGTAATTTAAAATCTTTATTTATTGTTTCAGTGTTGTTTTATCTTATTTTTTCTTACACGAGCCCTCAAGAGCCAGTGAAACAAGTAAGACTTTTCAACCTTTGTTCAATCGGACGTGATATGGCTATAATAGGTGGCTCGCAGAGTATGGTCATAGGCCGAACAGGGCGGATCTAGCAAATATAATGAGGGTGGACCTAATTATTTAATGAAAAAATATAAAATATCATAACGAAAAGTGAAAATACAAAGACATACTTTCATAGTCGTTCTTTACGAGATTTCATGGCCTGACATCGCTCGATAATAACATCATTATCAATTTTCAAGAAGGTTTCACTTTCTACATAAACTAGTAGTCTATAATTTAACCAATCATCACTCATTTGATTGCTCAATCTATTCTTAATAATATTCATTGCGGAAAATACTCGTTCCATGCTAGGTGTTGCAACCGGTAAAACCAACGCCAAAGTTAAAAGCTTGTAAACTAAATGAAATATTTTGTGCTTCTTCGACATATCACGCTTAAAAGAGCCATAAGCAACTTAGAGATTAAATTTCCAATTTCTACATAAAAAGAATATATTTTCCACTGCCCAAAAAATAGAAAAGAATAATTTTATCTCCACACAAATAAACATAAAGGGATTTCGTTATCTCGCAAGCCGTCTTCTCGAATAATTAAAACAAAAATTGATAAGTTTTTTTTTTTACCATTTTCTCTCTTTCACCTCCCCTTTTTCTCTATTTTTCCTCTTCTTATTTGTTTTAAGTGCTGCCAGCCCATATTAAATTCANAGCTTAGCCTTAGCTCGGCATTCAGCTATAGGCACGGTGGCTCAGGATATGAAGGCGAGGGGTCAATTATCCATTGATTGGGTTAGTTGACGAAAGAAATGTATTACTTAGTGTCCTAAGAAGCTCGACCTAGAGATGGCCGAGCAGGCATAGAATGTGTCTCTGGAGGAGCTCGTCATAAGGGTTCAGCGAGAACCTTGGCTGAGGATTTGACTTGGGAATTCAGAATATGTGAGTAATTTTGGGGTTAGGTCATAAGGAGGTTTGTAACGTCAAGGACTCTTGATTCGGAATTCGGCCAGATTAAGAGGAAGATACGAGAAGACTCCTCGTTCAACAAACTCTTCTGTCTATACATAACTGATTAGTCGAGAAACGTGCTTGGATTAATTGTCTAATATTGTGATTGTGTGCATTAATTCCTCGCATTTATACGTTTTTCGACCTATTTGATATTATGATCAAATCTCGTGCTTTGATGAGTTTTTGAGTGATTTTCAGTATTTTTGGAGCTATTTTTGGTTGCACGACTGGGTGTGGATGCTCAGGAGAAGGACAAAGAAGTTTTACCAGCGAGTATGGGGGTGTCCCGTACTGAACTAGCAGGCCCCGTACTCCTGTAGCAGGCCCAAGCAATTCTCGATTAGAAGGCTTGGAGAAATTAATATAATTGGGCCTACATATTTTGTGTTTGAAGGAAGTGGGCTGCGTGGGAATGCTGACAGGAATAGGAAAAGGCCCACTCACTATTGGATTGCTTTAATAATTGACTTGGAGGGAATAAAGAGAAAAAAGGACGTGGCCAGGGGGAGATATATATTGATAGAATTTCTACTTGAAAGGGTGATTATTTTTTCCACGAGAATTGGCGGCTGGGACTTGGAACAGAAGAGAAACGCAACAATAGAGCATCTCGCCCAGAACAGAGAAGATTTATTCTTTTCTTTTCTTTATTTATTTTTCTCGTGTAATTAATTTTATGACTATGTTTTCGAACACTATGAGCGAGTAGTTCCTTTATTCTAGTTCCGGGGAAGTCGAACCCTACGATTGACTATGTTTTGATTTATTTATATGGTTGAGGATTTTAATATTTTTTTGTAATTGCTTGTGTTATTTTGAATAATTCACCATGATGTGTTAGTCTTGTTTAGATGGATCACCTAGATTAGGCTTTTCATATCTACATCTGAATTAGGCCTGCAATCCGTAATTGTTGTTGTGTTTAATTAATAAGAGGTAACCGGAAGATGGTAACTACCGGGGATATCACGGCCTAATTAAGTGAACGAACGCGGTTGAGTTCACTAATTAGTGTATCCTATTTTTCTAAATCGTAAAGCGGCTAATTGTAGTAAATCTTGAAAACGTTTTTCCGGACTGTACAAGAAGTCAGGTTTAATCGTCGAGCGTCTCGCGGTTAAATTAAAAATAAAGAAAAATTCGGGTAACAGACCGTGTCGTTACCTAGGGCTAGTAATTCCATGAGATAGCGAAATCTGATTCTATAATTGATTAAACGAGTCAGTCGAGGGTGTAGACGGAACCGTGGACTAGAAGCTTCCCCATTTGTTTGATTATCATCTTTATTTGTTGCATTTGAGTTCATTCCGTCATTCATATTTCTATTAGTTAATTAATTTCCACCACAACCCCCCCTTTTATTAGTATTTTCATGATTTCAATTAAAGAAAATAATTACAATTAAATTCCACACTCCCTGTGGGTTCGACCCTTGCTCACTACTACTACTAGTTGGTAGAAGTCGGTTAAGGAAAATTAAATATTATATTTTGACCGTGTTGCGACGCGCGGTCAAATTTTGGCGCCGTTGCCGGGGAGTAACGGAATTGAATTGTTAATTTATCTCTATTAATTGAAGTTAGGTTTAGTTTTTATAAATTTTCTCTTATTTTTATTTTTTGTTTAGGAGTAAAATCAGTTTGAACCCCTCTGTTACTTGCTTTCATTTTATTTCTTTTTATTTTTCTGCTCCCAGTAGTACAGGGTCTCCCCATATTCTGTCCAACAGAATAATTAGACCCCATACTCGCTGTGCTGAATAGGTGTGAAACTCGGTTCTTTCGACATGTCTTGCTGCATTCGGTACTTATAATTTCAGTTGTCTTTCAGGTGAATGAACACGAGGTCTTCTGGACAGAAACCATTGACATACAACCCAGAAATCACAAGGAAGGATAAGGAGAATCGGAGGCTAGCAAGGTTGGCAAAGGAATCGCAAGAAAACCGAGAGCGAGACTATCCGGTGATTACTAATTGCCATAGTTCTTCCAGCGAGCCCGATAACACTGAATATTCTGATTCTTCGAGTGAGGAAGAAGCAATGGCGGAAGAGCAAGAACGTACGTTAAGGCAACTAGCAAATCCCCGACTTCTTCAACAACCCTTGTGCATAACATTTTCGACCGTGAATGACGCCACCTTCGAGCTTAAGTCTGGCCTGATACACTTATTGCCGTCATTCAACGGCCTCTCAGGCGAGGACCCACACATGCACCTGAAGGAGTTCCATACCGTGTGTTCCGGAATGAAGCCCGCCGGGGTAACCGAGGAGCAGATCAAGCTTCGGGCGTTTCCATTTTCATTGAAGGACCGAGCCAAAGATTGGCTATACTACTTACCGTCGGGGTCCATCACCACGTGGACTGACATGGAGAAAGCTTTTCTCCAACGCTACTTTCCGGCATCAAGGGTTGCGAATTTGCGTAAGGAGATATGTGGTGCCCAACAATTGCATGGAGAGACGCTATACGAGTATTGGGAGAGATTCAAGAGGCTCATTGCTTGTTGTCCTCAGCACCAGATGACGGAGGAGCTGCTAATCCAATACTTTTACGAGGGGTTGTCCCTCATGGATAGGAACATGCTCGATGCAGCAAGCGGAGGCACTCTTATGGGCAAGACACCAACGGCCGCAAGGGATCTGATAGCAAATATGGCAGCAAATTCCCAGCAATTTGGCACTCGGGAAGCATCTTTTCAGACGGTGAATGAAGCTGGTATTGGTGCTTTGGAGTCTCAAGTTAAGGAGTTGACGACTTTTGTCCGGAAATTAGCCACAGAAGATTTTCCCAGGGTGCAACCTTGCATGCGTTGCGAGACGACTGATCACGTTACGGACAATTGCCCGTTAATCAATGGCGAGGTGGAGGCACAAGCGAACGCGATAGGTTCCAACAATGGGCCGGGCCGAAACTATGACCCTTTCTCCAATACCTACAATCCCGGTTGGAGAGAACACCCCAACCTTCGATCTGGAAACCCATCAGGGGGAGTATATGCAGAGAAAGATAATCGGCCACCCCAAATTTTCCAAAGAGGCCAAAACTTTCCACGACAAGCAGGTAATGGTCAACCGAACTCCATGCCACAATCTTCCCTAGAAGAGATGATCAAGACGTTTGCCACTAGTTCCATGAACTTTCAGCAGGGTGTTCAAGAGAGCATCAAGAATCAGGAGATGAATATCAAGAGCCAAGGAGTGAGCATCAAAAACTTAGAATGCCAAATGAGCCAATTGGCGGAGCATATGAGCCGATTAGATGCACAACTCGGGGGCCGACTTCTATCTCAATCTGAGATCAACCCTAAAAATGTCAGTGCCATCACCTTGCAGAGTGGGAAAGAATTAGAAGCCCCAAAGACTCAAAACGAGAAGAATGAAAGTGAAAAAGAGGGTGTGTCAGCAGAATATGGGGCCGAGCAGCAGAATACGGGGACACCCTGTACTCAGTCTGCTGAGAATGAAAGACGCATGGGCAGTCCGATTTTCCCTCCACTGAAACCCGAACCTCTACCGTTTCCATCCAGGGTACGAAAGGCAGCAAAGGAAGACGCTGAGAAGCATGTTCTTGATGTGTTCAAGAAAGTCGAGATCAACATTCCTCTCATTGATGTAATTAAGCAAGTCCCTCGTTACACCAAATTTTTGAAGGACCTATGCACTAACAAGCGAAGGTTGCAAGGGAATGAGAATGTTCTGATGGGAGAGAATGTCTCGGCAATTTTTCAGAAGGATTTACCCCAAAAGAGAAGCGACCCAGGTATGTTTTCAATTCCATGCACAATAGGGAATCTAAAAATTGAGCGAGCCATGCTCGATTTGGGAGCATCAATTAATGTTATGCCTCGCTCTATTTTTGATTCCTTAAATTTGGGTCCTCTTAAAGAAACTCGTGTGGTAATTGAACTTGCCGACCGAAGTACTACTTGTCCGGATGGGGTAATTGAGGATGTTCTTGTTAAGGTTAATGAGCTCATTTTTCCCGCTGACTTTTATGTGTTGAGTATGAATGACAGGACTCCTATGTCGACCCCGATTCTGTTAGGGCGGCCGTTCTTGAACACTGCTCAAACAAAAATCGACGTTCGTGAAGGCACTCTCACGATGGAGTTCGATGGCAATGTTATTCGGTTTAATATTTTTGATGACATGAAATTTTTCGATTCTGACCATTGTGTTTATGTACTTGATTGTATTGAACCATTGACACAGGATTTTCCCGACACTTATAAGGACGGTGAGCTGGAGCTTGTGATTTCACAAAGTTTCGATAAAAATCAAGCAGTACAGGGTACCTTCCCAGGAGTACGGGGTGCCCCGGTACTCGGGTTGCAGAGAGATAGTGATCAACCCGAATTTTTAAATCACTTGGGGCTGATCGAGGAGGCCGTAACAGCCTTGAATACACTGAAACCATATCTTGAAAATCATGATAAAAATTTTATTCGGCCACCTGAACCTGATAAGAAAATTGTTCCTTCTACTTTGCAGGCACCGGAACATGAGCTGAAATCCTTACCGAGCCACTTGAAATATGCCTATTGGGGAGAGGATCGACCACTCCCGGTTATAGTGTCATCGAGTTTGGAGCCTAACCAGATGGCAACCCCCACTGAAGTGTTGAAGAATTACAAACGAGCAATCGGTTGGACCATTGCCGATTTGCGTGGGATAAGCCTGTCCATTTGCATGCGTCGTATCCTTCTCAAGTTAAACGCTAAACCCTCTTGGGAGGCACAACGATGGCTGAATCCTCCCATGATGGAGGTGCTGAAAAATGAAATCATCAAGTTGTTGGATGTGGGAGTCATTTATCTGATCTCGGATAGCCGTTGGGTGAGCTCGACGCAAGTGGTTCTAAAGAAGTCGGGCAAGACGTTCAAGGTGAATGACCATAAGCTTAAGTCATACTATGGGGAATTTAGGAGCGACGACGTGGAAGGAGTACACCGAGAGGCACCCAACTCATTCTGAAAGGGGAGTATTCTGTCGAGCCAACGACGTTAAAAAAAGGCGCTAGTTGGGAGGCAACCCAATATTATTATTATTATTATTATTATTATTATTATTATTATTATTATTATTATTATTATTATTATTATTATTATATTTAGTAGTTTTTATTAAATAAGTAATTAATACACGAGAAAGAAGATTTTTCTGTTTGCTTTCTGGGCTTGTTGAAGTCTGATAATGTTTCTTAGTGTTTTCTTTGTGTTATTGCTGCATGGGATTGCTATGATAGAGGCCAAGTATATTTTACGTGTTGCTGGGAATTGAGTCATGGTAATTAACATTTTATTGGTCCAGGACAAATTTTGGAAGTATTTGGTTTCTCGGGCCCAACAACTATTCCAAGGGACAGCCCAAATTTTGTTGACTCTGCTGTGAGTACAAAGGGCGTGTGTTGCCCCACTTCCAAAATCATCTCAAATGTAAATCTGACTATTTGAGAGAATTGAGTGAGAATTGAACAGACGCGAGGACATCGGGTCCATCTGTGTGTGCCCAGACGGGCACGGCTACGACCACCGAGTCGCCAGCCATCTCGAAATTGCCCCAGACCGCAAAGCTGCCGGTCGGGCCGAAATAAGCGACCGCACTGCCGCCGTCCACTTTCGAGTCACTGAACCCTCCATCTCCATCAGCGGCCGCACAATTGTCACCACCAACGTCCCCGCCGGCTACTCCCTCAACGGCAACACAGAAACGGGCCCGGTCACACCAAACCAACCCCCGTCCATTTCAACCGAGTCACCGGCTGACGAGCCCACGCTGCCAGTCACCCAAACATCATCCCGGACAGCATCTGGGACACCCGTTAGCCGATCCCGAGCCTCACCGGAGGAATCGGGCCTAAGCGGGCTCGTGCAGGCACATCATAGGGTCGAGGAGTTGGAGCGAGAGCAGCAGCGCCTTCCCACTGACTGACCCTACACACCGGCACGCACTAGGATGCTACCTATGACGAGGGAAGTCCGATAACTCCTTCTGTTTTTATTTTATAAGCATTCTTAGTGTTGTGACGTTGAGGACAACGCCAATTTTTAAGTGTGGGGTGGGGCTAGTTGTTGGCTGCCCTATATACTGCTGTTTATTGTGATTTTGATTTTGATTTGCCCTTAGAGTTAGGGTCTGATTTGATGATTGTCTGACGGTATTGAGTCTTGTTTAGAATATCAATGGTGATTATGCTTGATTCTCTTTTTGATGCCGGTTCTTGATATTTTTGATGTGTGCGAAAAATTTTGGAGTCCTTGTTTGCTGCATATTAATTGACTGGTTGCTCTTGATGATCATATGGCATATTAAGGCCAACGAGGATTAACACAATTTGTCCCTATTTGTTGTGAGGCTTGAGCCAATGAGCATACACTGACTATATGCTCCTTTTATTGATTGTGTGATGTCACGACTGGTTGATCTTTCTAGAACTTGCCTTGCCATACACGTTTTCATTTGATTCGTGATGAATGTGGATACATAAATTGATAAGGGTGTTTAGGATTAACCCTTTTGTGTGGCCTTTCTTCTTGTTTTTCTTTTAAATTGAACCCCGTTTCAGTTCCATTAGTTAGCCCCCTTGAGCTTGAACCTTTTCTTTGAATGAGAGCCATATTACATGCCATGTGACCTTTTGTTGATATCTTACTTGAACCTTTGAACTGAGCAATTGTGTAAATTCCTGTCTAATTTGAGCAAAGGTTCTTGTTTGTTCGAGGTGTGTAAATGGGCTACGTGTTCTGAGTTTAATTGGGGGCTATGTGTTTTGATATTGTGTGTTCTAAGAAGGGGTTATTTGTTCGAGGAAAGGATGTGTGTTAGAAGTCGTTGTTTGGTTAAAGGGAGGTGTGTTGTGAGTGTTGGTGAATGAATGGACCTGATTGCTTAGAGGGTGATTGTTTATCAATTCATCTAGAAATTAATTGGTTTTTTTTAACTATAGTTACTTTTAAAAAAAAGTTAGTATGGTTAGTTGTTAGTGGATATATTAAAATAATATTTAAAATAAAATAATTAAAGTTGATATGATGTAAAAGTAAGAGAAAAATGTATGGAAGTAGTGGTTAGTTAAAATTATGTGAGTGGATGAATAGTGAATTAAAATTGATGTGATGTGTAAGAATGATTGGTTGATATTAATTAATTATATTGGTAATAATGAAGATAGTGGAGTTGGGTTAAAGTTGAGTTAAATTTGAGTTTTGATTGGTTTTTTTTGAATTGGGTTGATAAACAATCACACCCTTATTGTCTGATCTGTTGAAAAAAAATAATAATAATATTAAAAAAATAAATTAAAAAAAAAAATTGGAGAGGTTGATGATTGTGCTATGATGAGATGAGCTGAAATTAGTTGGTTATCACTTGTGGGTAGTGTGTTTGTGTTTTGAGCTCTTTTCGGATGGGGTTTGCACGATTGCTTTGGTTCTTTTGAATTACATTATTCTTCTTTCTTGTCAACACCTCTAGCCATTATTACCCATACCCGCCGTTACAACCTTGTGACACACCCTTTGACTTTTGTGATTTATATCCATTCTCGAGTTGTTGGGCGTGATGCAATGGCAAGCTTATGGTCAAGATTTTCTATGTTTTGACTTGAGCGTTCACTTATATTTATATATCTTTAGCCTATACACTTGGAGAGTTTGAGCGAACCTCGTGAGATGTGTTGAATCCTCGCTTGCATTTTATATTGTTTGATTGTTGAGACTCTCGGTCATTGATGTCGGTATATAAGGGTTCTACCATGACTTGCTTTATTGTGTGTAAAATGATTTTGAATTGGAAAAGGAAGAGGAAAGAGTGTGATTGCAATTTGATAGGACGAATTTGGCTTGATGCTTGAGGGCAAGCATCGTTCAAGTGTGGGGTGGTTTGATTAGTCGAGAAACGTGCTTGGATTAATTGTCTAATATTGTGATTGTGTGCATTAATTCCTCGCATTTATACGTTTTTCGACCTATTTGATATTATGATCAAATCTCGTGCTTTGATGAGTTTTTGAGTGATTTTCAGTATTTTTGGAGCTATTTCTGGTTGCACGATGGGGTGTGGATGCTCGGGAGAAGGACAAAGAAGTTTTACCAGCGAGTATGGGGGTGTCCCGTACTGAACTAGCAGGCCCCGTACTCCTGTAGCAGGCCCAAGCAATTCTCGATTAGAAGGCTTGGAGAAATTAATATAATTGGGCCTACATATTTTGTGTTTGAAGGAAGTGGGCTGCGTGGGAATGCTGACAAGAATAGGAAAAGGCCCACTCACTATTGGATTGCTTTAATAATTGACTTGGAGGGCATAAAGTGAAAAAAGGACGTGGCTAGGGGGAGATATATATTGATAGAATCTACTTGAAAGGGTGATTATTTTTTCCACGAGAATTGGCGGCTGGGACTTGGAACAGAAGAGAAACGCAGCAATAGAGCATCTCGCCCAGAACAGAGAAGATTTATTCTTTTCTTTTCTTTATTTATTTTTCTCGTGTAATTAATTTTATGACTATGTTTTCGAACACTATGAGCGAGTAGTTCCTTTATTCTAGTTCCGGGGAAGTCGAACCCTACGATTGACTATGTTTTGATTTATTTATATGGTTGAGGATTTTAATATCTTTTTGGAATTGCTTGTGTTATTTTGAATAATTCACCATGATGTGTTAGTCTTGTTTAGATTGATCACCTAGATTAGGCTTTTCATATCTACATCTGAATTAGGCCTGCAATCCGTAATTGTTGTTGTGTTTAATTCATAAGAGGTAACCGGAAGATGGTAACTACCGGGGATAACACGGCCTAATTAAGTGAACGAACGCGGTTGAGTTCACTAATTAGTCTAGCCTATTTTTCTAAATCGTAAAGCGGCTAATTCTATTAAATCTTGAAAACGTTTTTTCGGGCTGTACAAGAAGTCAGGTTTAATCGTCGAGCGTCTCGCGGTTAAACTAAAAATAAGGAAAAATTAGGGTAACAGACCGTGTCGTTACCTAGGGCTAGTAATTTCATGAGATAGCGAAATCTGATTCTAAAATTGCTTAAACGAGTCAGTCGAGGGTGTAGACGGAACCGTGGACTAGAAGCTTCCCCATTTGTTTGATTATCATCTTTATTTGTTGCATTTGAGTTCATTCCGTCATTCATATTTCTATTAGTTAATTAATTTCCACCAAAACCCCCCCTTTTATTAGTATTTTTATGATTTCAATTAAAGAAAATAATTACAATTAAATTCCACACTCCCTGTGGGTTCGACACTTGCTCACTACTACTAGTAGTTGGTAGAAGTCGGTTAAGGAAAATTAAATATTATATTTTGACCGTGTTGCGACGCGCGGTCAATAACCTCACCTATAAAAGGAGTACATGTTCTTTTCTTTACACATAACGCACATACACGCATGAATTTATTTCCTTGACATATAATTGCTGAGCGTTGGACTGACTTGAGCGTCAGAGTGTTTTCCGTCGGGGCCCTTCCCAGCGTTTTGAAGGTCATCGGAGGCACCAAGGCGATTCAGATCAGCAAATTGCGGTTCAGACCGAGTCGAGGCTTAATCTACGCAACAGGATGGCGACTGACGTGAAAATTGTGGTTGAAAACCAGTTCAAGTTTTCGAGCATATTTTCAATGATAAAAACTTGACATAGCGGACACATATACGAAGAGATAAATAAAGTGAAAACTCTACATGTTTTTATTTCAATCAATCAACCAACTAAAATAATTGTAGATGAGTCGTTTAAATAGAACTTATAAAAGCTCTAAATAAATAACTTGCCTGATAAGAAAAAGGACTAGGGAAAATATATGATGCAATGAAAAATAATTATCCTACCAAAACTAGAATGCAAATGCTAATAATAAAGGAAAGAAATAATTATACTAAAGTTGGCAAACCTATTCAGAAAATCAAAAGCAATCTCGTATCCATCATTCTCCTTCTCACGAAAAAGATTCGCCTTCGAATTTGATGCAATCTCGTCTCCATCGTTCGTCCCCTCATGGAAATAATTTAACCATGAATCTGATGCATCCTCATCTCCATCACTAAATCAATCTGATATTGAATATCACTCCATGGATACATCAAAGTAAAACCACAAGTAATCTTCATCCTGAATTCTGCCTCCATAAACTTTCCTACATTGCTCCTATCCGGCATGGGGAAGCAACCTAGAGCCTGAAACTTTTGTTGCACCAGCCGTGTGTACATCGCCTCGACATTCTCACCGAGTCGTCAACCACCATCCCCTCTATTGTCCAAATGGGCAAAAACTTCTGCATTTAAGCAGTGTACTTCATAGTATTGATAACTTTGTCATCAAAAAGAGACGGATCCTCATATTCGGTCGATCGATCTTCATTACAAAGAGACGGGCCCTCATATTAGGGTGACACCCTACGCCACACTCGACTGGTGAATTGGCGAGAAAACTGCCTTCAGCAGAACCCTATCAACTCTATTCTCTTCGAAGGTCAGAGAAAGAGAGAAAACTAAGGGAAGTTTTATTTTAGTTTTATATTAGGTGTGTTTTTTTTATCTTTATGTTGGATTTCGTTTGTAAAGTCTAGCGGCGTCTGACGTTTGGTCTCCTTTATGGAGTTGAATTTTTTGTGTGTATGTGGTTGGCTCCTTGTCGGAGTTTGTACCTCTTTGACACATGTGTGCTCATAAGGGAATAGGTCCAAGTTTTCTGGTTGTGTGTGTCAATTGATACTCCTCTTGTTCTCTTTTGAGTTTCAATTATTTATATATTCGTCGTTTGAAAGAATAAAAAAACTACTTACCATCATATTCCAACTTTAGTCCCGACAAGAGAAATGTTACAAAGTCAGCAACAAACTTATGAGGTTTCAAAATTATAATAATAATATTCAAGGTAATAGCAATTACCAAGCCAAAGTTTTTATCCCTTCTTACTAAGCACACAATCATCCGAGACACTCTCCCAATATCCACTTCTAATTCATTACATGATAGATACACACACTCACACACACACAAGGCTAAAATGAGCAAAAAAACTATAAATCCTCTGAAAACTCAAGAAGACTACAAATAGTGTTAATCAAGCATAAACTAAGACAGAAAAAAGAAGCCAGAGGCCAACATTTTATTTTGTAAAATAACTAAATAACCACAAATTTATATATATATATATATAAATTATATAAATTTTCAGAAAATTCAAGACCACTCGGATGGTTTCTTAACGTCACGTAGGTGGACCGAGTTTTCAAAGCAATGGAAAAAGCCAAAGTGAGGGAACCTCTCGTACCATGTGTCCTGCTGGATATGCGTGTCCCAATGCTCGCCACTACTACTCTTCCCGTACTTGTGGACCCATCCCGACCCATTGTGGCCCTCCCCCCAAGTACGGTTCCAACGGTCCCCGTATTTGCCCTCCCACCATGTCTCCCCTTGCTTAAGCCCACACCCATCAGGCCCAAAGTGTTCATCCCACTTGTCGCCCCATTTGGCCCAACCGTCCCCCTCGAAACGCTCGGCCCATTTGTCCGTGTACTTCACACTTCCACCTTGCCCGTCAAACTTCTCGCCCCACCTATTGTGAACGGTAGTAAGTTATAAGGGATTAATTTATTCACGAACTTTTACCTTGAGGTTTCACCTAAGGGTGTGATTGGATATGGATTTGATTGATTTTTTTATTAATCATAGTTAATTTTGAAAAATGTAGTATGGTTAGTTGTTGGTATTGTTGTTGGTTAGTTAGTGAAAATTTAAGTTTAAATTAAAATAATATTTAATATAAAATAATTAAAGTTGATTTGATTTAAAAGTAAAAGAAAAATGATTGGAAGTGAAGGTTAGTTAAAATTATGCTGAGTGAATAAATAATAAATGAAAGTTGATGTGATGTGCAACAGATATTATTTAATTATATTGACAATATTGAAGATAGTGAGGTTGGGTTAAAATTGAGTTAAATTTGAGTTTGGGTTGGTTTTTGTTTACAAGGAGTATCACTCGGATTTTTATTTTTGACCTGGGTTTACACCCTAAACCCATTCACAGTGGAAAAATATTAAAAGACCCCATAACATTTTAACAAATATTGCTGTTGGCCCACTTAGTTTCAACACCCAATCAAACCTCCGGTGCACTTTTGCATTTTGAAACACAAATGGGTTTTAATGTAATCAGGTATTCCGCAAAGTGCAATCTCTCTGATTTACCCCTGAATTATTAAAGCACTAGGAATAACTGGAACAGGTATGCCATGGTATGAGTGGAACTGGAAAACAAACTATATAACTGCTATGTACACTGACTAAAGTAGGGCTACACCAGTATAACTGTACAAGTGTGTGTGAACTGGATAGTTGGAAAGGCTTGGCCTAACCTTCGCCTAAATTGCAAATCATTAACCAGTTACTTCTGTAGAAACTATAATATTCACCTGATGGATTAGAAATACCCCTATATGACTACTCCTGCAGTAGGGTGAACTTCATAAAGTAGAGACAAATATAAAGGGATTTTCGTAATCAGACTTATTTAGTTACACTTGTATTTTGTTGATCGAGTTTTGGTTTGTGAATTTTTTGTTCGTGACTGTTTGACTGCTTCTCGTCTAATACGTGGAAAAACGTAATCCATCACCACATATTGGTGGATAATCATTCTTTTTTTATTTTCCTTTTCTGCTTTTTAGTATTGGCGAATGCTTAGTTTTTGCAAGTCAAGAAAGAATTTGATATAAATATGTATTAATGTGAGCATGCCCAAACAGTTAGGTACCTTTCATGCCAAACGTGGGCGTGGCCCACTTCCAATGGAGTATGTGGATCGATGCTGCACCACTTATGGGCCCACTTCTCGGCCTGGCCCGATGCATCGTAATGCTCCCACCATTTCTCTTGCCATTCATCCCCTTGAATGTTCTTTCCCCACTTATCTGCTGATTTCTCAAAATGGATAACTCCCTCTTTCTGCAGATCACAAGCCATTAGATTCAAATACGCAAAGGACTGAAAGTATATTGCAATATGAAGACATTGTGAAATAACATGCCAGCTTTTCACAATACAACTCACAAAAAACAGTTCAGTGTTGGAATCATTCTATTAACTTCTGTAATTTGTTGACATCTTGTAGCCTAGAAATAGTTTCTGACTATTTATTTTTTGTTCGTAAAGCAGGCGGAAATGTCATAAAGGTGTGGACTTTATATGAGCTTAAGATGGAAAATATACAATTGCACTTCAACTTCAATTGAGGTTTTTCAAGAACAAAATCTGATAAGACAGATAACAAGCAAGCATATAAACATATTTTGTACTTGCATTCAGAATTCTTTGGATTTCTAAAGGGAAATCCCTGTTAACCAAAAATTAATAATAAAACAAAACATCAAACGAAGAAACCACCTGATAGATACATAAAAAATCAAAACAGAAAGCCCCCAAGAATTGGTTCCATCTTATACAGTTTACCCCCATTAAGAATAAAAACATTTCCACACAACACCCCCTTACCATTATAATTATACGCCTTAAAATAAAAAACGGATCAAACCTCAGGTCAAATTTCACAACCTTCGCAGTCCTTTCCAAAAAACTACAAACCTCAGGGTATATGTAATCATATAAAAATCAGGGACAATTACTTGAATACCTCCTTCAGCTTTGCTCTAACTAACAAAACAAAATAAACAGAAAAAGAAAAAAGGGACAAAAAAAAAAAGAAGCTAGCTTACAGAATTAGGGTGCCAACTACTATAATTTACAGATGCAATTGAGAAT